AATGAGAAGAGATGGTCAGAAAATTTGGATAATAAGAGGAGAGGGCAGTGTCATGAAAACCAAGAGAATATATCCTGGAGAAGGGGGTACTCAACAGGGTCAAATTCTGCAGAGAGATTAATAAGGAATATGAGAGCACTGAGATGAAGTCTTTATATTTGTAGATCAGATCATCTTTAACTTTAAAGAGAAAAGTTTTACTTACATAATGACATCAAAAGCCATATTGTAGAGAGCCAAGAAGGGAATTAGAGGAGAGGAAATGGATACACTAATGGATACACAGCTTTTTCCAGTAGTTTGAGAAATGAGGAAGTGATATAGATAATAATTAGTAGGGATAATAGGTTCTAGTAAAGATTTTTTGAAAATTTAGGAGACAGGCATTTTTTGTAGGCATCTAGAAAGGATTCAGAAAATAAGGAGAGATTACAGATTACTAAAGGACTCAAGGGAATGAGATCAAAAGTGAATATAAATGGGCTGACCTTCATGAGTAGAAGGGTTATCTCCTTATCAGGGACTAGAATAAAGTAGGAAATGGTGAAGAATTATGTCAAGGGTTTATAGTCAGAGAAAGAAGGGAGAAGAAGGAGTACCAAATGCATGGACTCAGTTTTATTTTTTTTTTCAGTAAAGTATGAGGTGGTGGTATGTGCTGAGAAGTTGTGGGATAAAAGCCACTGGAGAGAATGGGTGGTTTGAAATAAACAGGAAGAAAAAAACTAACAATATGAGTAGAAAATCTTAAAACAAAGATATTTAGAAAATAAAAATGAAGAGTTAGGATATAATTTACTGTGAGTTAATGATCAGGGATTGGCAAGCTATGGCATGAGGGTCAATATGACCCAATACCTCTTTTTTTATGACCTGAGAGCTAAAAATGGTTTAAATAATTTTAAATGAAATTTTATTGTATTTTAAAATGTAAAAATTATTCTTAGCTTACTGGCTATTTGGTCCACTGACCATAGTTTGCTGACCCCTGGGTTTATCAATTCCAAAAACAGCATGAGTGGTAATTATGATTTCAAATGAATCAAAATAAAAATTCAAAATGTCAAATGAAATAAATAGGATAACTGAAAGTTTAAGGAATCCCTAACAATAAAATTATATTACTATTCAATATTATTCACCAAATAGCATAACTTAAAAAATTTGTAAAGGAAAAGCTAACTGAATGGCCAGGAGACATGGAGAATATAATAACAGCAGGAGACCTAACATTAAAGTGGATACATACAGAAAGACTATGTGGAGTTACGCAAATTGTTGGAAGTATCAGAGTTTTGCTATTGTATTGGCACTGAAATTTCTTCACAATCTGGATACAACCTATTTTCCTATATTGATTTCATATTATTTTACATTATTCCTTTTCATACATGCTACCTTCTCATCAAACCTACCAACTAGCAGTTCCCCACATATGACATCCCATCACCTACCTTCATGACTTTGTTCCACTCTCCCTTTTCATCTCTGCTTTACTGAATCTCTATATTCCTTCAAAGCAGAGGCAGGTACTCCTACAAGAGGCCTTTTCTGATCTCCCAACTTGCTCACCTCTTCCCAATCAAGAAATTATTTTGTATTTATTTATTTTTTTCACCAGCCAGAAACAAGGTTTATTAAATATCCACCACATTGGCCAGACTCTTAAGGAATCTGAACATTTGTGAGCTATTGGCTAGACTGTAAAAATCTGAGCCTTTGGCTAGATTCTTAAGAATCTGAGCATTTGTATCACTAATGCAAGCAGGCCAGATTTTAAGAATCTGAGCTTGGATTTATTTTTTATACAGTTCATGTAGACTCATCTGCATGAATGTTGTCACCCACAAGTAAAATTAAGCTTCTTGAAGGTAGGAATTATTTAATTATTTTTCTTTGTATTCTCATCAACTAGCACAATCCCTGGTATATGGTAGGTCTTTATAAATTTTTCATGAATTGAAATGAATTGGAAAAATTAAATTTAAAAGATATGCTGCATTGGTAATATTACAGAACAAATATGACTCTCAGAATCATATAATACTTCCACCAAAAATGTAACATGTGCTAAGGCACAAATATCATAAATAAGTATAAAAAGGTAGATATACTAATCACATTCTTTCTGGATCACAATTAAACACAAACACTTAATACAGGGGACCTAATAAAAGAATAAGGATTTAAATGGAAACTAAGTTATGACATCCTGAATACTGAGTAAGTGAAAAAAATAAATCACATAAACAATAAATAACTATATTGAAAGGAATGACAGCAATAATACAATATACCAACACCTGGAAAATGTAGCTACAGCAGTTCTGCCAGGGAAAATACATCTATGAAAATACATATTAACAAAATAAAATATTAAAGAACTGAACATGCAATTAAAAAAAGTAGAAAATCACTGGAGTTATAAAGTCCCAAACAAATAAAATAAAGATGACAAAAGTAAAAAGTAGCTTAAAAATTAATAAAATTGATACACCATTAGCTAATATTTTTAAAGTAGGAAAAAGTAAGACTGCAAAAAAAATACAGTGAGAAAATCAGCAACACCAAAACTGTTCACATCAAGTTAAGGTGTTATCTGGACCCCTGTCCAGTACCACAGCCTCAGACAGAGAAATGAGTTAAAAAAAAAAAAAGACAGATTTGACACAAAACCCAATTATCACTAAAGTAGTGTTAAATAAAGAACAATCACTGATTACTTGGAAGGAGGAGAAAATCCACAATATCTCAGACCTCTATAGACCATTGAAGTACCAGGCACAAGCTCTCTTGCCACTCAGACCCAAAATTAGAGTCTCAGCCATAGAAGTAAATGAGAAAATCAACATTGCCTAAGTTATCCTCAGCCCAATCACTTCATCTTCTCTCCTTCCCTTCTATTATGTACTCTTTAATCTCATATTCTATTGTTAAAATATTTCCTTTGCCTTAGACTCCCTTCTTCAATTCATGTTAAAAAGAAAAATAGAGAACAGACACTTAACTCTCAAATTCTTGATTAAAGAGAGAATTCTTTATAGAAGTAATTGTGAAAGAGAAAACAGATGACTTCATGTAAAATTACAAATCTGTTACATTAACAAAATCAATGCAGCTAGACACCAAAGAGAATAAGTCATCTGGGGAAAAAGTTTTTTTTTTTTTTTACCAAATATCTGATAAAAATCAAATAAAGAATTGACATAAATATATAAGATCAAGAACTGCTCCTTCAAAGAATGTGACAAAATGATATGAAAAGTTTCTGAAAGAAGAATTCAAACTATTACAGATATGAATAAAATGTTCCAAATGATGGCATAGCCATCAAATTAACAAAGATAATAAAATTCAGAAACAGTCAATGTTAATGAGACTGTGAAAAGACAGGTCAGCTAAAATGCTTATGAATAATACACCAAGCTATGAATTGGCCTAACCATTCTGGAAAACAATTTGTAATTATGTAAGAAAATGAATGAATGAATGATTGGATGAATAAAAAACATTTGTTAAGTACTATGTGCAAGGCATTGTTTTGAGCATTGGGGATGCAAATAAAAGTAGGCAAGATAGTGTATGAGAGTAGTGACCAGAGAGAAATTTTTTTAGACAGAGAAATCAGGAAATAGTGATTATACTCAATAGGGCAAATGATCAGTGTGTCTTTTCTAGGAATCATAGTACTGATTTGTTTACTGTTCCAAAGGTAAAAGTAAGTGGGGCTGGGGAACTAGCGAGGCAAAAGTAGGGAGCATGTTAAGAGACCAGGCAATACAAAGTTCATTCTCACCATTAAGAGGACAGGTTTCCAGGGATGAGTGTTCAATTTGTAGGTCACAAATAGAGATATGCATATGCATGTCTATGGCATCCCATTAGTAATTCTCTCAAAAAAGGTTAATTTGTCATGGTTAACATTTCTTCTCAAGTCATCATTATTATTTATCAATCAGTCTTTTTTTTTTATCCATACTTCAAGATGTATATTTTTAACTTGTTTGAAAATGATAACTTCTTTCCTAAATTTACTCTAATTCTCAAAATCCTTACCCCAATGTTTGTCTAAGCACATTCTGCTTAAGAATTTAGGTTTAGAGACTTAATTGGAATGCAGCAACTGTGTTCCAGGAGTTCATTTACATTGGAATTCATCTTCTTCCTTGTTTTGCTTCTTGCTTAGGCTGGTAAATCCTCAAATTAGCAAAATCCTGTTTCGTCAAACATTACAACAGCAACCTTTTCATTTGTCTTTTGTTATGATAAAACAGAACACAGAGGAAATAATTATGAATATGCACTGAATAGTCCCAATGGTAACATTACTCAATCAAACAATGGAAAAGTTTAATTAGAAAGTTTCCCAATTCATACATAGTTAATAGTATGCAAACAGACTCATAAAATATTCAAACTGAACCAGAAAGCTACAGAATACTTTGTGCAATCCCCTGATTTTACTAAGGATCAAAGAGAAGGGATGAACTGCCTGCAGTTACATAGTGAGTTGCTAGACGTTATGTCTTCTGAATCATAATCCAGTGCCATTTCTATTATACCTTTTTTTCCTTAAAGTGGTGGAGTTTACAAATTCACACAATATAATTGCATATTTTGCAATATATATATATATAATATATGTATGTTAGACTTTTTCGATGTGTTGGATAGTTTTGCCAAATTGTTGTCCCTCTCCTCTTTTTTATTTTCTGTGGTAAGGGATAGCTCTCATGGAGAGTGAGGTTGGAGGTTCATATTGGGAAAAATAGATGATATAATAATAAAATATGAAATTACTTTTGAAATAAAATACTTTTAAAGGAACCATGTGCTCTGCTGTAAAATTGGTGTTTATTTGATTTTTCTTCCCTGAACATGCAATGCAGATTGTCATATTTCTTTTATATGGTAAAAGTCTTATTTAATGAATTTCATAAGATTTAAATACTTTTAAAAATTCAACTTCAACAGAATCACAGTGAAGATTCATTTTTATAATGGAAAACTCACCCAAAAAAAACACCCAACTATTCTTCTCAAAATCTGAAAGACCCACGAACAGGACTCCTTTTAAATCAGAGTCATCTGTTTCAGAAGGAAAACAACCTTGTTGTGGAGAATTAAAGGTAGGGTGGTAAAAAGGAATTAGATGAATAGATGATCTTTGTTCCTTGGTCATGTTTCTTTAATTGTAGCTGGAGAAGATGTCTGTCTTTAATTGTAATATTTAGCTATACTGACACATTTGTAAATCTTTTTTTTTTTACATTTGTAATTCTTTAAACATAACCCTCTAGCTTCCAGCTCTGTTCCTTTGCATTGCCTGTTCCTGATGTTCAACACATCCACTTCTCCCTTTTGATTTCCCTGACTTCCTCCAAGAGTCAGCTCAAGTCCCACTTTATGCACAAGATCTTTCCCAGTCCCCTTCTTGCCACCCCAAGCTCTTAGTGTTTTCTCCTCAGATTACCTTCTATCTGTTTTACGTACAAGTTGTACATATCTAGTTATTTACATATTCTCTCCATTAAAAATATATGTTCCATGAGAACAGGGACTATTATTTGCCTTTCTTTATACCCAACATTTAGCATAGTGCCTGGTACATAATGAATGCTTAATAAATGGTGGTTCACTTACTAACATATATATTATTAACATATATTTGTGACATATATTAAAACCATACCCTTCAAAGCAGGGTTATGTCCAGTGTAAACATGACAGGCATTTGGAGTATTCAGGTAATACTGCATTTATTTTTTAGGAATTTATTAAATTTCATACCTCGTCATGAGTTTTAACATTCACCAGTGCCCTTTCTTTTTTTTTTCATCTCTCCCTGCCACCTTAAGTACTTGACTCAGAGTTTAATTGTCAGAGCTGGGATAATACATTTGTGTGCCCTAGATAAAGTTTGAAAATTGTTCCCACACCTTTGCAGTTATTTTCACTGGTGGTTTGTAGCCTTCTAGTATAACAATGCTTAGCAGAGTGCCCACCACATAGGAGCTTAATAAATGCTTTTTGACTTGACTAAATATGTTCAACATGGATTCTCATAATATAAATGACAAAGGTCAAGATAAATAGAATATTATGGAATTAAAATATCTTTAGCATTTCTAGAAAGTTAGTATTGAAATGTCTCTGCTTACAACATCCTCTCTCTATCCCTATAATATTGCACTTTGCTTGTATTTTAACCCTGCCACTACTTGCTTACTTATATAATCTGACCCAAAATTGCACATTTTTAGGTTTGTGGACTTTATTATTGTTACATGAAAAAGATAAAAATATTCAACCATCAAAGGGAACTAAGAAAAATGTAAAAGAAAATTGGTTATATCTGATAAAGATTTAGTGAAAAAAAGAGAAGCCACATCAATCATGCAATACTTTTTCAGAATACTAAGATATGGTCCCTATTTTCACATACAATGTTGCTATGACATTTGTAATATGGGCTGATGGAAATGTCACAGACTGGTAAGCAGTTAGGCTCATGCATTGCAGGTGTGTGTGTGTGTGTGTGCATTTTGTGAATCAAAAGATACAATCTTTTCTAATCAAAGCAGTTAGAATGGATAGATCCAGAGGAGAGCAAAAGTAGAGGTCTCATTTTCAGTTTTTGAGAAAGTCCATGTGTGACCCTATGGCTTTCCAGATTAAAAAAAAGCTTAATAATATAAAATCATTCCTTTGAGAGGATAAGCCCAAATTGATATATGCCTATAGAAGATTTTCTTCAGCAAAGAAATCCTTTTCACTTATTTTATTAAGCACTGATTTAATGTAGTTTTCATTCTTTGAAGTCTCTACATTTCTGTCATTCATAAAATCAAACTATTTTTGTCTCTCTCCTTTTACAGGTATTTCTCTGTGCATTATCTTTTGTTTATTTTGCCAAAGCCTTGTCAGAAGGTTATCTGAAGAGCACAATCACTCAGATAGAAAGACGATTTGAAATCCCTAGTTCTCTGGTTGGAGTTATTGATGGGAGCTTTGAAATTGGTAGGTATTATGGAAACTAAACTGAGCATTTTGGGGTCTTTATTTCTAGCACAATGTACTTAGTACCTCCTAAGTTGAGAGTAGATCACAAGATGACATTCACACCACATTGTAAAAAACTCATAGGTATTTTGATAGATTCATGATTTTATTGACAGACAGATATTCCTTTCATTAATACAGTTGAGACTTTCTCTACCTTTTCTCATATTATGTGATTCTTCTACATGTATTTCTTTTTTTTAAATGTTTGATTCTTTAATAAAAAATTTGCTGTTATTTCCCAGTGCTTCCCACCTCATCACACAAATAGAAAATAACAAAGTACACTGACCACATGTGACAACATATACCTCATTTCTCAACTGTAGTCTGTCACCTCTCTTTGAAGACAATAGATAGATGCCTCATTATCAGATCTCTGGATTCCAGACTAGTCAACATAGTGATAAGTGTTCTGATGTCTACTAATGTTTTTTTCCCTTTATATTTCTATGGTGATTGTGGGCATTATTCTCTTCATCCTACTTTCTTCACTCTGTATCAATTCATACAAATCTTCCCAAGTTTTTCTGAGTTTTTCACTTTTGCCATTCCTTACAGTGATACAGTAGTTAAATATATTCACATTCAATTATTCCTCCAATCAATGGGCACATACTCTATTTCTAGATCCTTGTTGCTGCTAATATATTTTTGTATTTATGGAGCCTTTCTCCCTACATTTTCCCTTTTGGAGAGTAAATGTCCAGCAGTGGTATCGTTGCGTCAAAGGGCTTGAACACTCTATATCTTTCCCAACATCTGCTACAGAATGAACTGGAACTCTTCCTCTATTTTTTAAAATTTTGTGGGCACACATGTAACAATCATATTATCTATTCCTCTATTGGTCAGCAGCCCTCCCTTCCTAGTTATTCATGTCCTTGTTGATTTCTTTTAGGATACATCTAGGTCCTTCACATGTCATATCTGGTAATATGTTGCAACCTACTCATATCTAACATGTGTCTTTCCATCACTTTGATGTCACCTACATTCCCCCCCCCCCCAAGGAACTGTGAGTTATTATAATGGTAAAAATTATTATTGAAAAAACATTCAACTTGTTAGGGAAAAAAAAGCACCCTTCAAGGGTCTCCTCAAACATATCTTCCCATCAATCTTTTAAAACAATATAAGAATCTGAAAGATGCAGGAATATAGATGATTTTATTAAATTATAATATGAGGCATAAAATAACAACACCAATACATAGGAGACACTTACTTAAGGTGTTTGCCAACATCATGGATGATGCCCTGTGCAGACTCCAAATAGAACCAATCAACTATCAAGCATTTACTAACTACTTGCCATGTGCCAGGCACTGTGCTAGGCACTGAGGGTACAAATTCAAAGAATAAAAGGAGTCTTACTCACAACGAGCTTATATCCTAATGGGAGAAATAAGTACTTACATAAAACATAAACATAAAATTAATATATACAAATATATACAAAATAGGTAAATACAAGAAAGTTTTGCAGGAAGGCAGTAGCCACTGGGAAAATCAGGAAAGGCGTTATGCCAAAGATGAAGGCAAAGAAGGAATTCGTTACTTCAAAATAGAAAGGTCTATTTGATTAATTATATTCAGACCCTGGAATAAAATAAAGCTTCCTCAATGAAATCCATAGCAATCATTCACACTGGAAAGTAGATGAAAATGTATATTGTTTATGGAAGTACAAAACTTAACAACCCTCCAAGTAAGAAACCCAGTTAAAATGTAAATGGGAAATGTTTAACAAAATAAACAAAAATAAAACATACTAAGATAATGTTAATTTGTTATTTTCTAAGTCAATATGTTGCCTTCAGTGATCCATTTCTATTTGAATTTGCTGCCATTGATTCAGACACCACTGCCACAATGTTTAACAGCTCATTCTACACATGTACACACACACACACAAATACACATGGTGTCCGAAAAGTCTTAGGGCAGTTCAATGCTTAAAATATACCCTGTGAATAGAAGCATTTGAAGAACTTTGTCATCAATTAAGAACCTTTCTATTTGACCCTGTTTTAAGCTTAATACTGCACTAACTTTTAGAACAGCCTGTATGTATTCAAGACAGTTGCTGCAGATGGAAACTTATTTGGGCCCAGCATTAGATAGGAGGAGGAGATTATTCAGGAAACCATTTGGGAAAACATAAATTGCTTTCAATTACCTCAAACTGTGTGTTGCCAAAAAGCCCAACTTCTTCAATGACAATATTTTTCTAGTGATGTTCTAGAGTTGTGAAGAGTTGTTATCTGCAATAATACCTGTGAATTTTTATTGTAAACTTTAAACTGCAACATGAATATCATTTGTCATATAATTAAGAAGAATAATAGCTCATTTTTTTTTGGTTAGGCAATGGGGTTAAGTGACTTGCCCAGGGTCACACAGCTAAGTAAGTGTCAAGTGTCTGAGTCTAGATTTGAACTCAGGTCTTCCTGAATCCAGGGCTGCTGCTCTATCCACTGCACCATCTAGCTGCCCCAATAATAGCTCATATTTATGTGGCACTTTAAGGTTTCCTGTTACTTCAAGACAACTCCATGAGGAAGCAGTGCTAGTGTCATTATCCTCCTTCTAATGATGGGAGTACTAGGCTCAGAGGGGTTAAAGGGTTTGACTCTTTAGACTCAAGCTAATAATTGGTAAACTTAGGACTTGGAACCAAGACTTCTAATTGCGAGTCTAAGTATTCTTTCCATTATATCACATTGCCTCATATTGTTTCCTCAACTCAACTCATCCACCAGTGCTTTCCTTTGGGAAAGGATGAAATGTTGATAATATTTCATACTGACAACATTTGAGCTTGACATTTGGGGTAATGGGAAATGTTTAGGGAAGAACCATTATTGTTTATCTTCTTCGCTCTTTGTCAGTCTTCATCAGCTAGTTTTAACTTTTCTATGAAAAATAGCAATTCCAGTAAAAAGAGCACAAATAAGTAAAGAGCCAGGGAATGTAGACCAACATGTCTTTTGCTAAATATTTAAATGTTCTCTGGATAACAAGTCACGGTCTTAATCCAAGTAGTTAAAAAAAAAATAAATATTGGCTCAAGGTTCACCAGATAGGAGGAACAGATATAAAGGGCAGCAACACTAAAATTAACTAGTAGAGGCAGGCAGAAAAGAAGGAAACAAACATATACTGTGTACTAGGCACTCTGATAAGCCTTTTACAAATATTATCTCATTTGATTCTCAAAACAACCTTGTAAGGTACGTACAATTATTATCCCCATTTTATAATTGAGGAAACTGAGGGAAACACAAAGTTAAGCAATTTGCCCAGAGTCACATAGTTAATATCTGAGGCCATATTTGAACTCAAGTCTTCCTGACTCCAGATATAATGCTCCATCCACTAAGCCACCTAGTTGCCTGAGACATCTAAAATAATGAGATCATTAGAAATTAAGTTCCTGGATCAAGTCACTGAGACAGTTTAAGAAACAAATTCTGTACGAATCACTGGGTAAGAAAGTTACATTGATCAACTCAGACCTGAAAAAAGGAAAGACCAAAAGATGGAAAGGTGGGAAGGACACAGCAAGGGAATTAAGCTTTGAATTGCCCTAAACATAAGACAAATTACTCATTTGGTGTTGTGAGATTAACATATTTTCTTTAATTTTGTTTTACATAGTTAATTAATTTATAAATATTTCATTTTTCCCCAAAAGGGAATCTTTTAGTTATAACCTTTGTTAGCTACTTTGGAGCTAAACTTCATAGGCCGAAGATAATTGGAACAGGATGCCTAATTATGGGAGTTGGAACTTTGCTTATTGCAATGCCTCACTTCTTCATGGGACAGTAAGTCTAAAACAAACTATTCTAATATGTATAGAAGACAGAACTTTATTCACATTAATAAATAAGTATTTACATTAATGGAATAATATAGTAGGTTAAGGTGACAGTAATTCTATATACTATTTGTAGCAAACCTTACATTGGCAAAAACCTAAGGTAGTTTAAGGATATTGTTATGAAGATTAGCCAGTCGTTATTTATTCATTGTCTAATACTCTGGGTGGTATATCATATAACACTTGGACTTTGGCTTCAAGAAACTTATTCACAAGTTGGGGAGACTAGATAAATCCTTATAAAAAGTTAGCTAACAATGAAAAGCAATTTATATAGTATCCAAGAAATACATTCTATTAATTTTTTTAAGAAAGAGAGTCCCTAATGTCCTGTCCAGAGAAATATTCCTGGAAGGATTAAATTATTTCAATTCAATTATTTGTTGAGTACCTATATGTGCAAGGAATGGAGGATATAAAGATGATTTCCCCATCTCACTCAAGTATCAGACACAGAATTTAAAGACCTGCATATCAGAGCTAAACTCTTGGCTCAAGGGAGCTGATGCAAGTCATTTAGCTTCCCCAAGTCTCAGCTTCTTTGAAAATGAAAGAGTTGAAAATAGAGAAACTTTAAAGTCTTTCCCAATGATCTGATTTTCAGAATTCCAGAACAAGACGAAGCTTCTTCCTTCAAAGATTTTCCAATTGAATATACATATAATACTAGGTAGAAAAGGGTAAGAATAAATTAAAGAATGCACAAAATGTGCTAAGAATATTGAAAAGGGATAGAATATATGCAGCTAGGAAAGATTTGGACAAGAATCCACGAGAAACAAATAGCTAAGATGAGAGTAAAATAAAGTGCAAAAATAGACTTCTATAACCTCTTGAACATTTAAATAAATATTCATTTAACTTTTTGTTGAAAAGAATCTAGGTCTTTGTACTCTGTGGCTAAATATAAATGATTAGCCCATAGATAACCCATGGTATCTAGATATCTCAACCCTATGCTATATTTGGGTAAAGAAGCCAACAGAGGATTTTTTCATAATAGATTTTAGTGATATATTTGTTTTTCAATACTTAATAAGATTCTCAATTTTTCTGGAATTAATAAAATAATAATAAAAACTCAGAGCCCCCAGACCAGACTTGAAATCTGATCACTGTAACAGTTTTGACTCTTTTGATCTATTTGGCTAGTGACATTGCACAGTCCTCCCTCACTTAAATCCAATACACTGGCACATCATGGCATCATCTCCCTGATGTCATGGTCCTCTTTGAGAATGAAGGACAAATAACAGTCTTTGTAAATTTCCACTAGTCACTGGCATGTCCAGTTAATCCCCCACTCTGTACTATACCAATGTACAAATATATATTTCCTTTTCTCTATGTTTATTTTCCTGGCTATAGTAATAATAATATCAATGATAGTAGCATATGTTTATATAGCACATGTCAAAGCACTTTCATGTCCATTAACTCATATGATGCCAACGGAGCTGGGGTTTATACTATTATTCCATTTTATTGATAAGAAAACCAAGGCTCAGAGAATTTAAATAACTTTCCCTGGGTCACATAGCTAATATGAAGCCCAAGGTTTTCTAAATGCAGAGCTCTCTCCCACTATAGTATATATCTTTTTTTTTGCTGTAAATAATAAAGCTATTTATTTTAAAAGATCAAAACTCTTTCCTCTTGCTACCTCTCATACGTGCTGAAGCTTATTATACCTGGTTGATGTTGGAGTGGAACTTAGGGCACAAAAACAGCTTTATTGTTGGGAGTGATGGCAGTTATGGATGATTAGAGATAGTCTTACTGCTACTTTATATCTCAATCACTGAGGCATGATACTTTGTGTCACAGTAAAGAATAGTTGCACGCATCCAGTATCTCCAACTGGAGATGCATAACTGGCAGGCATTCTGGATGGATGATTTCTAAAAGCCCTTATTTCACAACCAAGTCATGGACTCAATCTATTGAGCACACTCTAAAAACTAAAAGAATAGATGATTAAATCACCATTCTGCCTTTTAAATCAAGGGAATAGTTGTCCCTATTTTGACACCATGGCTACTTTAGTATAGCACTGGGTTGAATTTATAAGATGTATTTTTATCAATCACAGAATCATAGATAATAGATCTAGAGCCAGAAAGTACCTAAGAGATAATTTAGTCAAACTCCATCATTTTACAAATGGGGATGGTGAGGTCCAGAGAGATTACATGACCTTCCCAAAGTCACACAGTGACAAAGCTAGGATTTGAATGCTGCCTTATAAAAGAATTCAGCCCTCAAAGATCAATGCTCCTTACACAGCAAAAAAAAAAAAAAAAAAAATAGAAAAAAATGATCTTCTATAAAATATCCTTACCTTAATTTTCTTCTCACTTATCCAGAACATTGACTGGCCAAAATATAGTTCTCAAGGTTTTCTTTTATAATGAATGGTATTCTTTGGAGTCCATATATAACATCTGCTGGACAATTTTTATTTTAAAATCTGATAATCTCAATGTTGTGTCAGATCCATAAATATCCCAAACCTAGAATGTGAGGCCTATTCCTAATGAGAATATGGTGTACATTGCTTTTGATTGATTGAATGTGGTGTGAAAATTCTCAGAGTAAATAAAATGCTCATTTTATTTAGTTACAGGTATGACAAATTTTCTCCTTCCAATTCCACCATCACCATTTCTCCATGCTTACAGGACCTCAACAAAAAAATTTCATTTTCAGTTATGGAAAGATCTCAATCAAAAGAAAATACAGGTAAGACTATTTTTTAATTTTGAAAAACCAAACAGGTATTTGATCCCTGATTTACACCAATCTCCCAATCCAATATCCTTTTCCCTTATCTTGATTGAAGTAGACAGCAAGACTGTGAGGATGAAAATTCCTCGCAAATTCCTAGCATAGAGTATGCAACTAGGAGAAATCAGCCAATTTAGACCTTTCTGAATCTCTAGGATTTGTGAGATTCTCTAGATCTCCTTCTTAACAAAGTTAATAGGATAGCCTTTTTACTGATATTGATGTCAAGAAATGAACTCTCCTCATCAATGTTTGTGGATATTTACTGCTTGGTTAGTTCCTGGAGGTGGGGTGAAGGAGGGCAGGAGGGCTGAAGATCTAATTTTTAATTGAGTTAAACTATGATGATTCACTCATTTTTAGATAATGAATTCTCATTCTCCTACAAAGAGAGATGTAGCTGAGGGAAAGAATGTTGCTGACTTGCTGAGATCAGTAGATGGCTTGCCAGGTCCTTCCCCTAAGAGAGGATACACAGAACCTCTAGGCTGAGCATGGGACCCAGCTTGAAGTCATTATGTGGAAATGTCTTCTTGGTGGTTAAATTTACATTGCCTTCACTTCTTAATACAATGCTTTGCTATTGATTTTGTAGTTCTTGCAAAGTCTATAAGAACTCATAAGGAGCACTGAATTGTAGTTTTCATGTTTCCTTATACTAAACATTACATGTTAACCTGGGAAAAGTAGTGAGAAATTTCAGAGCTAGTGCTCTCGGGCAGTTGTTAGACAACTCATATAATACTAGATTTGGGGAGATATTAGTTCATTCCTATTGTTATCACATAATGTTCATGATTGAAGGAAAAGTTCTCAAAAATCATTCTTAAATTATTTGTTGAAAATACATTCAAGTTAAAATTTAAGAGAAAAAAAGACTTTGGTAGAAGTTTTGAAAATGAGTTTCTTGAAAGAATAAAAAAATGAAAAAGCATTTATTAAGCCTCACTGTATTAAGCCTAGCACCCTTAGTGCTAGGGATACAGATACAAAGTCACAACAATCCTTTCCTGAATGGAACTTATATTCTTATTAGGGAAAGAAAATCTGAGAGAGTGGTGACCATCAAGTATGTGTTGATTTGGGAAGCTACAGGAATAGTGAGTGGAGAGATTTTCCTATAGCAGTGGCTTAACTGATTTTATTACAACTCCTAAACTTGAAAGTAGATTGTTGTGGAGGGATTAGGGAAGGTACATGTATAGTGGCAGGGCAGATGGAGGAAATATAGCCAGGCTGGATTTGCAGCATGTCTGGGGCCAGCTAGATAGAGGGGAGCATTTGACACACTCACCCTTCAGGACAGGTTGGAGGAAGGGCAGAAATTCTGAAGTGGAGAGGGTTAAGTCCTTCAGAGCTTCAGAGCTTTTGGGGGATGCAGAAAACAATAGAATGGCTGAGGTACAGCATCACAAACTTTGGGGATTCCACAGGGTAGGCATTAATTTTTTGTATCATTAGAAGATAATATAGTCAATAGCTTAGACAATATCCTTGAGAATTGAGGCAGCAAGGGAACACAGTTGTCACTAAAGGACTGGATTTTCTACCTAGTCAAATCCATTCTACTTATTATTTATTTCATTTTTAAAATTATTCTTTGGGTCATGCCGAAGAAAGCCTGTGCAGTTGGACAGTGGTCAAATTTTAACAATTTTATTCTATTTAAAAATTTTATTAAGGATGTGAAACAGAAACTCGAACTTCCACGTGGGTTTATGTTTTTCTGGGAAACCTCCTCCGTGGAATAGGAGAAACTCCCATTCAGCCTCTGGGGATTACCTACATTGATGACCACGCCAGTGAGGACAATGCTGCATTCTATATTGGTAATGATTGCTTCTTTGTCTCAGAAATAAATGTCTGGGTATTTGTACATGAAGTGTTTTATTTTTGCTATGTAAAATAGGGCAAAGAGCCCTCAAATTAGTGATAGGTAACCTAGTTTCAATTTTAGACTTCATCACTTTCTAGCTGTGTATCTTGTACAAGTCCATTTTAGCTACCCCTTGAGTTTTCATTTCCTCATCTATAAAAAGGGGATGATGATATTTGCATGCATTAATTTACAGAACTATTGGGAAGATCAAATTTCATAAAGTATATAAAATTATTTGTAACTAAAGTGTTATATAGATATGAGTTATTATTTAGTATGAGGGTATAGAGGCTACATATATGATTTCATTGCTAAAAGGAACTCTCTGGATAAGAAAAATCCCTCTTCCAAGGTATAGGTCTGCATATTTTCTACAGTTTATAATATTAGAGAGTTACCTAGAGTATTGAGAGGTTAAGAGACTTGTCCAGGTACACATAGCCAGTATGTGTCAGAGGCTGGGTTTGCCCTGTCATTGATATTGTTGCTATTGCTATTATTATTACTCTAACCTTGACATGGGTCTATGAGGCAGATTTACAAAATGGAGTAGGCATTCATGTTAACTTTCTTAACTTAGAAGAGTAATTATAAAATGGCTTATACTTATGCTCCAAGTTAAAGAATAAAACTAACAATGGGCTGGGGGTTAAATCTCAGCCAAATGCTAGAAAAAAGTTCTCTCTCCTATGTGGCTTCTACTGTACCTCTGTGCCAAAAATAACAACAACAAAAATCCAAGAAAACAAAACAAAAAACAGGTTCAACCACAAGTATTTTTTGAGAAATAATATTAATTCTGGCAAATGTACCCTTTAACAAAATAAATTTAAGAAAAACACAAAGAAAACTAATGTTGAGGCAGAGTAGGCCCTGTCCATTCCTCTTGGGGCCCTTTGTTTCTTTTAGCACCCTTGCTACTAGGGCAAACACCCATGATACACCCACGCACAGATACACGTTTCCTCCAGTATTTCCATTTAGATGGAAGTCATCTCTCACTTTCTTAAAGAAAGCTACTCCAGATGTGGCTCAGTCAGACTGTTGTCGTGAAATGACTGCTACCTCTCTTTTCACTCTTCTGTCCACCCCAAGGAGTCCCTAACTATATCAGTCATAAAACACTGCTCTACGTCCTCTTCTTTCCAGGATTGGTCTCTACTTTGTTTCCTCTCTTTCTAAATTGGAAAGAACTACAAATCCCAGGGAATTTCATTGGTCAGTAAAATCCTTTGCCAGGGGTTATTACATCATTAATTATTATTAAAGTTAATAATAATTCATAGCAACATGGTGTCATTTTCATTATAGTGTCAAGATGCCTGTTTCACCTATGTCATTTAAATTAACATAAAGGACTCAATTCATAAAGGGATGAAGGTATATAACTAAATTGTACTAGACTATGTATAATTTTTATAAAGTTATTAACAGAACTCTAGAAAATTTTTCAAGTCTAAAGTTCAGAGAATCTCCTTTGCTCCTTCCACTCCCAGATTTTCTTTTTTGCTTCTCTCCTCTCAAATTACCAAAGGGATTCTTGAATAGATTATCCATTTGCTCTCAAAATTGCCAAAGGGGTAAGAGACAAGGCACTTTATTTGATAAAAGAGTTACAAGGAAAGCACTCTACAGGGGAAGCCTTATAGAAAACAAGTTTGTAAGGTAAAGCTCTTTGTAAAGTATAGCAAGTTCATTCCTGTTGGCCTTCTTTTGTTCCTTAAAGTTCCTAACAATTTCTGCCTCTGATGCCAGATGATGATCTCCTGTCCTCCTATCAAAGTATACATAGAGAAAAAGAATTTATGTCAGCCATACCTTTGCATATGTTGAAGATAGGCAGGCAGGTAGGTGTAGTGCTTAAAGGATTAAAGGTCAGTAAGACCCAAGTTGAATCCTACCTCACACGTATTAGGTGTGTGACCCTGGACAAGTCATTTAACCTTCGGTGCCTCTGCTTCCTCATCTATAAAGTAGGAATAATAATAGAACCTACCTCACAGAGTTATTGTGAGGATAAAAGGAGATAATATATGTAAAGTGCTTGCAACCCTTAAAGTGCTATATAAATGTTTATTATTAGTAGTAGTAGGGGCAGCAGTGGTGATAGTGGTGGTGGTGGTGATGGTAGTTATACTAGTAGTAATAGCAATACCAGTCTTATGTCTTCCAAAATATTCTTATTTTAAGGTTATTTGTGAAATGAAAGGTTTTTTCTTCTGTCAGAGGAATTTCAGGTATTAGTAAAAATTAGTTGTGGTGACTGGGAAGGGGATTAATTTGGTGTGACAGGGAAACTTTTCTGGGCCTCTGGAATTACATAGGGTAAAGGGACATCTATTCTATTTACTAGCAAAAGCATTTTGGAAAATTATACTGTGCAAATCTCTGCCATCATGAGTTCTTGTGAGATTGGGTGAATTATTGTCTCTTTAAAAAATCTATGTAATTTAAATACCTTAAAACAATTTTTTCTTCTGATCAAAGCTAACAAACGAATGAGGTAGATTAAATTATTCCCTTTTTCTACTGAACTTATCCTCAATTTATTATGCCCATTTATTTGACACACCATATACATCATTTCATGAGATTCTTACATCACCTTTAAGTAGGTGATGGAAGTATAATTAATTCCCTTTTTCAGATGAGTAAATGAAGATCAGTGAGGTTAAAGGATTTTTCCTTTATAAGATTATAAATTCCTTGAAGGCAGGGTAAGTTTGTTTTTCATTTTTTATTTTTTTAAAGGCCATCACCTAACACAAGTGCTTTGTACATATTAACTTAATAAACATTTGTTTAATTAAATTGATCTCCAATGTGATTTGAATCCAGGTCAACACTATCTCTCAAGGTGGTGCTTTGATGCCTTCAAAGTGTTAATTGTTTTCTCAAATATAATATTTAGTCCAGAATGTTTAGCCTTGATTACATAACCTTAATTGATGCTTTGCCCTATACAAAAACATTGTTTCCCCACCTGATCCCTCTCCCCCCTAAAAAAATAACCCTCTCTCACAACAAATGGGGGGGGAAATCAAATAAATTGGAAAGGACCTAGGAGGCCATCTAGTTTAACCTATATCTGAATCAAAGTATGAAATATGCTCTACTTATAAAATCACTAATTGAACTGACATTTATTGTTGAATTACTGCATTTTTAACAGTATGACCAAAGATTTTTTTTTAATTTTCTTTTTAGGGTGTGTGCAGACGGTTGCAATTATTGGGCCAATATTTGGATTTCTTTTAGGCTCTCTATGTGCCAAACTATATGTTGACATTGGCTTTGTAAACCTAGGTAAGGCAGAATTTTTTTTAGGAGTTATTTTGGGTTCTTTCAAAGAGATGAAATGAATAATATTCATGATGTTCAGAGGATAAATGTTAATGAAGTGATTAATTTAAAAAAATAATCCTTTTTATATTATGTTTCTCCATGTGTATGAATAAGAGGAATATGGGAAGCAGGTTGTGACTAGGAAATGGCTTATGATTTGTTGTTAGAATGTATCACCTTTCTAGGTCTCAAGTTCAAATACATTCCACGGCAGGAAAGCCTGAAAGCTGTGGTCACTCCCTGGCTTTGGGGAATTCCAGGCGTGTCAACATTTATTATAGGCATACCTATTGACAATGTATTTGGAAATTTCAGCAGAGACATGAAGGCCTGACAGTCTTCTGAAAATCAAATGTTTTTTTATTCTACAAAATTATCTGTAGGTTCGGTCTTGGGGACTGCTACGGGGAAGCCTTGGTCTTCCCTTTCAGGATTTTGCTCATGCATTGAATAAGCCAAGTATTTCTCAGTAACCATAAGTTGTCCACTTCTGTGATAGCTACATTTATAAGAAATAGCTTATTATTCTATATAACGAGAAACCTAGAAAAAACAAGGAACAAGATAATCAGGTCACTTTAAAAAATTGAGAATTAAAATTTGAAGCTATGAGGAGAAAAAGTAAAATGCACTGGCATTTGTAAAATTCCTACAATTGTTGGCAATTCATTTAGTCAACTCATTATAAATCCAAAGCTGACCATATGAAGTACAGGTCTGAGTGTATGGTGACTATTTAACTCATTCTCCTGGTGAATAATTGTTTTAAAGAAATGATGTGGAAAAGAGATGAATAAAACAAATGACTGTTTTGTGATATTTCTGGGAAGCACATCAAATTAATTATCAATTTCTAATTTGCTAGAGAGTTTTGCATTTCTATCTTCAAATGAGGGATGATATAAAATAAGAGATTTATGAAGGGAGGAGCCACTCAAACTATGTTAATGCATTTTATAGGATGATAGATTAAGAGCTGAAAGAGATCTCAGAAGTAATCTAGGGCAAACCACCATTTTACAGATGAGAAAACTGACCTCTGAGATATTATGTATTTTTCCTGAGTTTCCCCAGGGAGTAAGTGGCAAAGTCAAGATCTGAACCCAGATAGTCTGACTCCAGACCTACACTACTGTACTACTTTAAGACCAAATAGCAAAAATACAATGTTTACATTTCGGGATGCACTGAAGAAATGAAACTAAGTATGAAACAGTGCAATGTAGTGGAAAAGATCACTGGATCTTGGTTGTAGTCCTTGTCCTACCATTAGCTGGCTGTGTGACTTTTGGCAAGCTATGTAACTTTTTTGTGTCCCAGGTTCTTCATTTGTAAATTAAATGAGTTGACTTATATAATTACTATAAAGTTCTATAGTTTTAGGAAAAATAATCCTATTCAATGAAAAAAAAATTTAACAAAATATAAATCACTAATATTTCTGTAGCACTAGTGTTAACAGGCTTTTTCATGATAACATTCTGAAATAGCACAATTATTATTCCAGCTTAACAGATGAGGAAACTAAGGCTTCAAAGAGTGAATGAATGAAAATGCACTTTTTAAAGTACTTATTATGTGCTATACACCAAGCTAAGTCCTGGGGATAGGCAGCTAGGTGGCACTGTGAATAGAATTCTGGACCTGGAGTCAGGAAAATATCACTTCACATTGAGCCCCAGACATTTACTAGATGTTTGACTTAGTGTAAGTCATTTAACTTCTGTCTCAATTTCTTCAGTATGTAAAATTAAGATAATAATGCCCCTACTTCACAGGGTATAAAATAATAGCTTATTATTATTATTATTATTATTAACCAATACAAATATGAGAAAATCTTTACCCTCAAAAATATCACATTATAGGGGCAGCTAGGTGGCACAGTGGATAGAGTACCAGCCCTGAAGTGAGGAAGATCTAAGTTCAAATCTGGCCTCAGACCAAACACTTGACACTTACTAGTTGTGTGACCTTGGGCAAGTCACTTAACTCCAATTGCAAAAAAAAAACCCTAAAAAAATCCCTAAAGGGGAAAAAAGATAACACATTATAGTGAGGATATTATATATAAGCAAGTTATGGCTAAGGAAGTAAGTTTTGATCTGACAATCCTGTGTTATGATGAATTGATCAATAAAGTAGTTGGTTAACATGCTTTTTCCAGAAACAATGGTATTATTCATTTGATTCCTTTGCTCACAACCCAACCCCCCACAAAACACACACACACACACACACACACACACACACACACACACACACACATCACGGAATCTCAGAATTGGAAGGGACCTGAGAGCAAGAGGTAAAAAGTATGATGATGGTGGTGATAGTGTTGGTCATCAACAGATAGTTTTCTTGGTAGATGATGGATGTAAAGCATCCAATCTGGGACCTGACTATATATAGTTGTTGATAAGTTTTCACTCAGGCATCTAGGTGGCACAATGAATAGGATGCTTGACCTAGAGTAAAGAAGATTCATTCTGTGTTCAAATCTGGCCTCAGATGCTAAATACCTACATGACTCTTGACAAGTCATTTAAACCTGTTTTCTTCAATTTCCTCATTTATAAAATGATCTAGAGAAGGAAATGGCGAATCACTCCAGTCTTTTTGCCAGGAAAACCCAGAATTGGATCATGAAGAGTTGGACATGACTGAACAACAACACGGGTTTTCACTCAGTCACCATCATGATGGCATAGTCCCACTTTGAATAGAATTATTTCCCCAGAAACTGATGGAATGGATTCTGAGGGTCAGATATAGAAGGTGATAGCAGGGTTGGACAACCTAGGAGTAGTATGACTGGGACAGTACAATCAATGTGGGTACAGTTGAATATAAAACTTTGATGATCAAAGGAGACTGCTCTCAACTCAAGAGTGTAGCAATGGGACATATATGGCCTAAACATGTGGCCATCCTTATTCCTAGCCTGAAACCACTATGAAACAGGAAACAGATGTCCTCTGAAAAAATATTTTACACAGAATAGTTTAGGTGGACATAGGTTAAAAAATGTCCAATTTTGTTGGTAATATCCAACATCAGCATTTGCCTTCATTTCTACTTATCTCAAGTACCTTCTGCTGGTATCATGTCCCCAGTTGTCAGCTTTCTTTTCTCTACTCTCAACTGAAATGTATTTACTCTGACTTTATAGAAATTCTTTACCAGTGTAAATGGTATTTTCCTTCATTATAATGCTCTTTGAGGGCAAAGATTTTCTTATCCCTCCTCTTCCAGCTCACTTTTATTTGTAATTTTCTCCTTGAGTGGAAGCAATGTTTTGCTTAATTGCATTTATCTCCACATAGTTCAGCCCAGTGCCCATAGGGAGTACTATAATGCTTACAATAATAACCACTAGCATTTGTATGGTGCTTTAGGGTTTACAAAGTGTTTACAAATAACATCTCATTTTATTCTCACAACAACCCTGGGAGATAAGTGCTATTACTATCTCCATTTTACAGACAAAGAAACTGAGATAGAGGTTATAGGAATTACTCAGGGCTACTCAACTAATAAATGTCTGAGGCAACTTTTGAATTCAGATATTTCTGACTCCAGGTCCAAGGATTTATCCATGGTACCACCTAGCTGTCTCTGGTAAATGCTTCATACCTAAATTAAATTGAACTGAATTGATCATGATCCAAATAGGTCTTAATTATTTTCAACTGAAAAAAAAATAGTGGTATAGAAGAAGAAAGAAATGTTAGCATTAAAAGCTAATGGGGGAAAATTGAGCCTCTGTTTGATTAAGAATCAAATTTTTGGTGGTGGCATACTAAATAAATTTTGCTATGTGGGCAACTCACTTATCCTCCTTCTCTTTTAGATAACCTAGCCATTACTCCAAAGGACACACAATGGGTAGGTGCCTGGTGGCTAGGTTATTTAATAGCTGGTGCCCTAAGTCTTATTGCAGCTGTGCCTTTCTGGTTCTTGCCAAAGAGTCTCATGAAACCTGAAAGCAGGAAAGATTCCATTTCCTCTTCTGAAAAATCAAAGTTTATTGTTCAAAATCCTCAGGAATATCACACACACTCTCAAGAGAAAGTGACAATGCTAGAAATGGCAAGAGGTGAGTAAATTCCTACCTTTTTAATATCCCTTAGATACTATACATATGGGCCAAAATTCAAAGTTTCATGGTGTGGGGGGCACATTGAGTCTAGAAAGAGAAGAGCTTCAAGAAGAGGAGGAAGGATGATGTTCTAAACCTAGGACATAACATGAACAAATTAATAGAGGCCAGAGAGGTCAAAACAAGATTAGTTTAATGTAGGATGAAGGAAAAGTATTCATATAAAAGAAGACTGGATAGGCTGAATGGAGACAGAATGTAAAATGGCTTTGAAATCTAGGGGAAAGACTTTATAATTTATCCTATATATAACAAGTAGTCACTAACAGTTTTTGGATGGGGGGGAGGGAGACATGATATAGTGAGACCACTATCTTGGAAAGATAATTTAGGTAATTGTAGATTGAAGAGGGAAGATATGAGAGACAGACCAATTAAGAGGCTATGACAGTGGTATATGTAAGGCTGAACCAAGACAATATCCATGTGAGTAGAAAAAGAAAAGATATGTGGGGAAGATATTTTAGCCTTGAGAGGATTAGCAACCAAATGAATTTCTCAGGTGAGGGACAGGGAAAAGTTAAAAATGACTCAGGATGACAGAGAGCAGAAAAAAATTGATCAAAGCCTATCTTATCTTTTTTTTTTTTGTAACTAGTCCATGTTATTTTCACTTTGTAGATTTTCTGCCTTCTCTGAAGAGGCTTTTTGGAAATCCAGTGTATTTTTTATACTTGTGTGCAAGCACTGTTCAGTTTAATTCTTTATTTGGAATGGTCACATATAAACCCAAGTATATTGAACAACAGTATGGACAATCATCCTCGAAGACAAATTTTGTTATAGGTATGCCTTTCTTGACTTCTAGGTCTTTTAAAAACTAAATTTTCTTTTAGGTTATGTTGTCCCCTCAGAAGTTGAAGGAAGAAAATGTCTCAAAACCTGCTGATGTTGATGTAAAATGGAGATAAAATGTGATATAAATAATGGAGATATAAATGTGATAGAAACAGGTTAATGTATATATAATTTTTGTGGTTATTGCATAGCAAGAATTGTTTGCTGATTTTAAGACATCTGTAAGTGTGAGTGTACTGGGAAGAGGTCATAGGTTATAGATGTAGACCTGGGAAATTTAGAAGTCATTTAGCCCTGCATTCTTAACTAACAAATGAAGAAACTGAAGGCCAAAGACACTAAGCAACTTTTGCCCAAGGTCACCCAGGTGACTGATAAAGTCTATATTCCAATTCAGGTCCTGTGATTCCAAGGTCAGCTCTCTTTTCTCTGCACCATGCTGAGATAGTCATCGTTAAGCATTAAAAATCAAATATCAAAAATTTCTTCTTTAGCAGGAGCTTTTTAGTATAAGGATTAACATTTTTATATGCAGTCAAAATCTTAATATCATTGCTGATTTTGTCTAAGTTACATTAGGACCAATAGGTATTACAGAAAAGGACAAGACCTTACAGATTTAGTCCAAGCTATCATTTTACAGATGAAGATGTAAAATGTCTCAGGAATCTGAGACATGGAAAAGTTAAATGACATAATTAATAAATAGCAGAATATACTTCCAACCAATTTCCACTAATCCAAATACAGTGGGTTTTTTCCCACTATTTCATAGCAGTACAGTTAATAACAAAATGAATCCCATAAGCAACCAGTAGCATACAGAAGTGCATGGAAACAAGCCAGAGGCTTCAAACTTGTAAACAACTTCTTTGGAACAAGTGGAATGCTTTAGAAAACTGCATTAACTCTTGTGTCCCTGAAGGTATGCTTTACTAAACTATGGTTGCAGTGTATGAATATTTTTCTAACTTGTTAACCGTCAAAATGAGGGAACTTAGCATAGAAGGATGGTCTATTCTTCCTGAGAAATGAAGAAACAAGATTATTTGGATGATAGTATTAGAACTGAAAGAAATCTGGGGAAAGGAAGGGCACTTCAGCAGGACATCTGTTTCCTATTAGAAACATCATCTTGCCTGGTTTATTCTTTTCTCAACCTACAGGTCAATGACAGACTATTAATAAGACTAGACTTCTAGCTAATATAATTATTATTTCTATAATTCAGTACTTAAATGATTTCTGACTTTGTTGGTGGGTTGATGATCTCCAAGAAGAACTTTGACTGAAGAATTTAATATAATGTGGCCAACTCAATAATGAGCATCTCCAGATGTAGTTAAGCTGGTCTTCAGATTAAAAAAAAAAAGAAATAAAAGCACATTGTCTTATGAGATCCATATATGAAATCTTTCCAGCTCAGTGGGGACTACCAGAGTTTTTGTTTTTTAAACATAACTTTAAATTCATTCATTCATTCATTCAACAAGTATTTATTGAGCTACAACAAACTACAAGGTGTGATGCTTGGCACTGAGGATACATAGGCAAAAGTAAATAGTCTTTGCCCTCAAGGAACTTCAAAGAAGATTAAAAGGAGTTTAAAAGTTTAAAGGAGACTCTAAGCTTCTCCCTGAAATACAGACCCATTTTTAACACCTATACTCTGGTGATTACTATATGGCTGTGAATTATAGAATTCCTCAGTGCCTGAGGCTGAAGATGAGTAAAAGAGCAGTTGACATCCATGGTGAATGTAGAAGGACTGTAGTATGTTGTCTGAGAAGAACTGGGCACTGGAAGCATCACAAGATGTATCAGAAGGATAGATGCATCACTACAAAGAGAAGTGAATCAGTCATTTAACAAGAATGAAAGACAGATGATAGGCATCCCAAACATTCCCTTACTACCCATTCAATGTACAGAAATTTAGAGGAATATTCCTAGTGCATTAGGTGGAGAGTTTATGGGAGGAAATAAACAAAAAGTATATAGGATAAGAATATGTAGATGGGTTACAATCTGAACCACTGGAAGAAGTATCCATAATAGTGAGGTCACAAATCTATCCAAGTAGTTAAGGAAGTAAGGATATTCATGTTGTTTAGTCATTCAGTCATGTCTGACTCATCATGACCCTGTAAGGGTTTCTTGGAAAAGACAATGGAGTGGTTTGCCATTCTTTCTCCAGTGAATTAAGGCAAACAGAGGTTAACTGATTTGCCCAAGGTCACAAAGTGGAGGCCAGATTTGAACTCAGGTCATCCTGACTCCAGACCCAGTGCTATCCACTGAGCTACTTAGCTACCTTAGGATAGTAAAAGCTAACCCCAAATATCTAAAAGATTTATATGTGGAAAAGGAATTTGATGCATTCATTTTGGCCTACATTATTGTTGTTGTTGTCCTTCATTTTTGAAGAGGACCAAAGTCAAGTTTGAGTGTGACCAACTGTGACTGATCAGACCAATATGAGCTCAGAATGTTCTACCACAGGCTGGGCACAAATAGTCCATGTGAACCTTCGGGATAGATTCTCTAAGTTTACGTTATCTTGCATTTCTCTTGAGCTATTTCAATTCTGCTGTGCTCATAGAACACAGCAACTTTTCTGATGTGGACTCAGGACTGCTCAGTGTCTCCCATGTCACACAATCATTTCCAAAGTTCTTAAGAGAGACCTTGAGAGGGTCCTTGTATCACTTCTTCTGACCTCCATGTGAATACTTACCCTGTGTGAATTCTACAAAAAAAATAGTCTTTTTGGCAAGCGTACATTTTGCTTTTGAATAACATAGCCAGCCCATTGGAGTTTCTACTCTCTGAAGCAGAGTTTGAATGCTTGGCAGTTTAGCTTGAGGGAGGACCTCAGTGTCTGATATCTTCTCCTGCCAGGTGATCTTCAGAATCTCTGTAAAACAATTCAAATGGAAGTGATTTGGTTTCCTGGCATGGCCCTGGCATACTGTCCAGGTTTCACAGGCATACAACAGTAAGGTCAGCACAACATCTCTGTAGACCTTCAGCGTGGTAGTTAGTCTAATACATCTTCTCTCCCATATTTTCCTCTGGAGCCTCCCAAACACTGAGTTAGATCAGGCAATGTGTGTGTCAACCTCATTATCAATGTGTACGTCCCTGGAAAGTACACTACCAAGGTAAGTTAACTTATTCACAGCATTCAAAAGTTTTCCATTTGCTGTAACCAATGGTTCCACCAATGGATGGTGTGGTGTTGGCTGATGGAACACCTGTATTTTTTTGGTGTTAATTGTTAGACCAAAATTAGCACAAGCAGCAGAGAATCAATCCATACTTTGTTACTTCTCAGCTTCAGAGGCTGCATTGAGTGCATAATCTGCAAACAGAAAATCATGCACCAATACTCCCTCCACTTTGATCTTGGTTTGTAGCCTTTTAAAGTTGAAGAATTTACCATCAGTGCAGGAGCTGACCTTGATGCCATGTTCATCTCATTGAAAGCATTTGACAACATGGCTGAAAACATCATACTAAAAAGCATGGGAGCAGGCATACGGCCTTGTTTTCACTCTATTGGTGACTGGGAAAGCATGAGAGCGTTGTCCATTATCCAGAACCTGGGCAAACATGCCATCATGAAATTGATGTACAATGTTGATGAACTTCTCTGGGCAACCAAATTTTGACATAGTCTTCAATAAGCCCTCATGACCGTATCAAAGGCCTTGGTCACATCTACAAACATTGCATACAGGCCTCTGTTCTGTTCCTGGCATTTCTCTTGGAGTTGTCAGGCAGCAAACACCATATCAACTCTTGCTTGGCCCTTTCTGAAGCCACACTGGCTCTCAGGTAGATGACCATCTTCCAGGTGAAGTATCAGCCTATTGATTCTGGCCAGAATCTTGCCAGCAATGACTAAGAGAGAGACACACAACTCCCATGATTACCACAGGACAATCTATTTCCTTTACCTTTATAAAGATGAACAATGAAGGCATCCTTGAACTCCTTGGGGATAACCTCCTCTTGCCATATAACCTGGAAAATTTCAGTCGCTTTTGTATGAGCAATGCACCCCCTACTTTGTAAATCTCAGCTGGAATAGAATCAACACTAGGTGCTTTGCCACATGAAAGAAGCCTAATGGCATTCAAAACCTCTTCTTCAGTTGGAACTTCAGCTAGGGAGAATTGACTTCAACTTGAGGTAAATGGTCAATGGCTTCAGCATTGATTGATGATGGTCTATTAAGAACACTGTGGAAGTGTTCAGCCCATCTCTCTAGGATCATGTTCTTATCACTAATCAATGTGGATCCATCAGCATTGAGTAGTTGAGATGCGTCATAGGTCTTTTGCCCATAAATTGCCTTCAGAGCATCATAAATGCGCTTTGGATTGTTACTATCAGTATAAAACTGAATTACATCTGCCTTCTCACTGAGCCAAGAAATCTAAGCTTTGCTCATACTTTACTTTTGATAGAGTTAAATGCTGCCTTCTTAGAGATGGACAAACTATCCTGTTGGTAAGCCCTGTGGAATTCTCATTTTTCATTTAGCAGTTTCTGAATTTCCCCATCATTTTCATCAAACCAGTCTTGATGTTGGCAAGTGTTCTGACTCAGATAAGCAAATGCAGTGCTATACACCAAATCTCTGAAAGCCACCCACTCCTCTTCTGCTCCACTGTTGCCAACTGTGTGTTGGCTCAACTTTCTCTCCAAGTTAGCAACAAGCTGTTCCCTCTCAGAGAAGAGCTCTAATCTGTTGACATTAATTCTTCTGGTAGTCATTTTGCCTTGGGGATGCCACTTTTGTTGGATGTGAATATTTAGCTTGGAGAGGATAAGTCTATGAACAGTCCAGAACTCTGCACCACACATTGCTTTTGTCACTCTCACAACCTATTTGTCTCTTCTCCTTACTATCATAGAGTCTATTAAATGCCAATGTTTGCTATAAGGGTGCATCCTCAAAGTTTTAATGTTTAGGTAAA